TTTGAAGCCAGCGCGGAACCGAATGGGCAGCCAGTGCAACACGGCCAGAATAGGAGAAATATGGTGGAATTTTCTCACTCCACTAAGGAGTCTGGCTGCCGCATTCTGCACTACTTGGAGCTTCCGCGTCAACCTCAAAGGTAGCCTCACATATAGCGCATTACAGTGGTCTAATCTGGAGATTACAAGCGCATGGACCAAGCGCCCCGTATCGAGATAGGGTCGCAGCCAGGCTATCCGCCACAGATGGAAAAAGGCAGAACGGACCACCGACGCCACCTGAGTTTCCATGGTGAGCACCGGGTCCAGATGGATCTCCAGGCTGCGGACCCCACTCTTTGCGGCAAGGGTAACCCCCCGGAATGAGAGTCACCCAAGCCACCGATAGTGGGGGCACCCACCCTCAGAACTTCCGTCTTGTCCGGGTTCAGCCTCAGCCCATTTCCCTGCATCCATTGCAGTACAGCCTCCAAGCAGCACTGGAGGGACAGAATGGCAGCACCTACAGTTGGTGGAAAGGAGATGTAGACCTGGGTGTCATCAGCGTACTGATGACACGATGCCCCATACCCTCTGATAACCCCTCATGTAGATGTTGATCAGCATTGGAGAGATGATCGACCCCTGTGGAACCCCACAGTTGAGATTCCACGGGGCCAAGACATTCCCCCCAAGGAGTTGAGATTCCACGGGGCCGAGACATTCCCCCCAAGGTGTACTCTCTGGAGTTGGTCCACCAGGAAGGAACAGAGCCAGGCTAGTGCCAAGCCACCAATTCCCAACTCAGAGAGCCTCCCCAGGAGGATACCATGGTCGACGGTATCGAAGGCCACCGAGATGTCGAGGAAGACCAACAGAGATATTTTACCCCTGTCAGCCTCCCTCAGCAGGTCATCATGCAGGGCGACCAATGCCATTTCTGTACCATGGCGCAGCCTGAAGCCTGACTGAAACGGATCCAGGGAACAACTAACAGCACATGGAAAAAGGCCTCATCTCATATTTATTATTTATTTATATTTATTTATTGGATTTTTATCCCGCCCATCTAGACCAAAGGTCTACTCTTATTATTTAAGAACAGGCAGGCTGGGAGTTGGACTGCAAGCCATTTCAAAACTTAAATACTATCACCTTGTTGTGTGCTGAAAACTGGTAGACAGTCCCATGATTAGTGCATAAAACCTGCAGATTCCTAGATTATGGTAGTGAAGCCACCCTGACCAGGAAAGGCCCCAGGCACCAAATAAGTTGAAGCTTGTACAATATGCCTCCAAGTAATCTTGGCCTCTATGCACTAATCATGGGACTGTCTACCAATTTTAGATTCTAGAGCAGCCCCAGACTCCATACCTGCTCTTTAAAGGAAACTGCACCACCATCCATAATTGGCTAAATTCCCACTAGCCCCAGCACCTCTGTCTCTTCAAGGTGCAGCCTTCATTAGTCTTATTCATATCATTGTCATTGCAACAGAGGTTCACCAAGACCGCAGCCTAAACTACCTAAGGTAAGGTTGAAAAACAGAACTGGCACCTTATTCCAAATCCACAAATGATCCAATTCCATGTAGATGTTAAAAAGCATGGTGGCTAAGCTAGAATCTTGCAGGATCCCACAGCAAAAGTGCCAACTGGAAATGCACCAGTGTTACTTTCTGAAACTGACCTAAAGGCCCAAGCAGACACTGCATGTTACTATAATCCAACCCACAGAGCCAGTCTAACAGGATACTACAGTTGATGGTATTAAAAGCCACCAAGAGATTAGCAAGAATAAACAGAGTTTCATTTCCACATCTTTCACCTCCAAAAGATCATTCAACAAGATTGTTTCAGTAACAAACCTGCTCTGAATGGATGTAGGTAATCCCATTTAACCCAGTTCCTGGAGACAGACTGCCAATATTCTCTAGAATGCCTTTCCTTGTATTTCTGACTAGGTAGTAGTTTTTTTAGAGCTAGTATGGTGTGGTTGTTAAAAATAATGGATTAGGACTCAGGAAACATGAAATCCCTCCTTGGCCGTAGAATCTCACTGTGAGATGGCACTGGCAAAAATAACTCGTTAAATATCACACATACCTAGAAAACCTATTAAAATAATAAATACTTGCCATCAGCTCAACTCCAACTTATCGTGACCCTTCCCAGATTTTTTTTTTTAAGTACAGAGTACTAAAAAAGTGGTTCACTGTTCCCTTCTTCTGGGAACTGGGCAGCTTGCCCAAGGCTACACAGGCTGGCTCTTATAGTGGGAGATACAGTAGTGTATCGATCTCCCAACCTCTGGTTCTGCAACCGGATACACAACTCATTAAGCTATAAAGGGTCACCACAATTCAGATGCCGCTTGATGGCACAAAGGAACCGGAGTTTTTACAATCTTTGGGATCTAGTGAGAGCTTCCTAAGGTGCCTCAAGGATGCCTCTTTCAAAGAGGTGAGGCCAATCTCTGCCTCAAGAAGGCATTCGCCACCTTTTGAATGCCTCCAAGCAGTTCCTTTCAGTTAGATGTAAGTGGCCAAGATGGGCAAGTGTCAAGCATACCTGTCATCAAATGAACCTCTCCAACCTCCCTCGCCACTTCCTTGGGCTACATTATCTGAAACTGAGCCAATATAATCAGACTAGATGGCACTTTGGATGCCTGCTTTGGAACTGTCACCATGATGCTGCCAAGGTACAAGTTAATACCTCAAAGTGCCTTGCAAATTGGCCATAGCGTGTCTCTGAAGGTTTCAACACATCTTGCCTACAGGTAACAATAGATAATTCCCTCACTACTTTGAAAATCTCTGCTGGATGGCTATCTAAGGATGCGATGATTGGGGAGAAGCGAGAAAGCTTTGCTACCCTCACTGCCAGAAAGTAGGCGCAATAATGTGCTCTCATTTGTGTCCTGCCATGCCTGCTATATAAATTGCACCATCTTGTTGTCATTTTGTCATCTTGCTTCATCACCTTCAACTCTTTAGTAAATGGGGGAGTTGACTGAGCTCTTCAGCAAAAGGGAGAGCCTAGCTGGAAGTGAATATGTCATGAAAGCAGGTTTAACAGGTTGGCCAGCCATTTCAAATGGAACGCCGCCACACACACCCCCCCCGAGCATTCAGGAATTCATCCGCTTCTATACGTTTTGGGGGGCAGCTCAATGGAATGAGCCCGCCACAGCTGCAATGGGGCAAAACGACTAGTAAGCTAAATTTCACCCCTGATTTGACTGAGGACCAAAACAGATGATTCATAAAATATGCATTTGCATTATCTTTCAATTCAAATAAACATGAACTGTAGGCGTAGGCCTCTAATCCAGATAAGGACTACAGTGGTCTCCCCACTTCTCTGTGGAGGTCGTATCTGCTGTTTCAGTTACCCGTGGTCACCACTGCTGCAGCCCAGCCTGCAGTGAGCACACACACTTACCACCTCCTCTTACCCTTCCCTGCTCCTCTTGCTCTCACCCATTCTCTTTAAGGGTTCCCCTCGTATCCATGGTTTCAGATATCCACGGGCGATCCTGGAGTTTTAAATGGAGCACCTGCGGATACGGAAGGTGAATGGAGCACCTGCGGATTCCTGGAGGACTCCTAGAGAGGTGAGCTCTTTCTCCCAATGCCATTTTTCTCCTCAGCGAAAATTATTCCACAAACTTTCTATTTATGCCAGAAGAAAAGCTGCTATTTATAGCTACAGCAGCTTCTTTCCCAGGGCAAAGAGCAGGTTGGATGGGTGGGTTTTTTTTATACAGAAAATAAAGCAGGCAGTGGAGAAATTAAATTTATTTCCCCTGCACTCCCCTGGTCATGATCCAGATGGGGGCTCTCATAATTGCTTTCACAATTGTGAAGACCTTTCTCTTCAGGCAGGCTTTTTTTTAATGGGCTGTTTTGCTCTGTTGCTTTTAAATGTATTTTTAGTGCTGATTTTATTTACCATTTTTAATATACTTGTTTAATTCTTTAAAAATATTTGTATATTTACTGTTTTAAATATAGTCCTTTTAATGATGAAAGGCGCCTTAGGTCCTTTTAAGGAAAACGATGGGGTATAAACAAACAAACAAACAACTAAACAAACAAACTAAATGGACAGGTGTAAATGCTATCACACATTTAAAATAGGCAGTTCCCAGAAGTCGCCAGAAAATCCCCCAGCGATAGTTCTGGGATAGATAACCAAAAAGCTGGTAGTTTCCTGAGAAGCACTCTGTACAGAGCGTAAAGGGCAGTGAGACTACCTGACCGCTAATGCCTTGTAGTTCCCATAAAACCTAGCCTTGCTCAGCTATGTCCTCTGTCTTCATTTGATTCTTTGGCTGAACCCCCTGAAATCTGGCTGGTGGAATTCCTACAGAGTTTTAGTGGCTGAAACCCCCCAAAAATATGGAAGTCCCATGACTGTGTATAATTTGGCCTTCAGTGTTTAAAGCAGGGTTATATGGTCACTCTTTGAACAAAATCTAACAAGTAATAAAAGCTTGAAACAGCTGGAAATATCAGAAAGAGAGTGGAGCAAAAGCATCTGAAGATAGGCAACCATGTATTGTTACCATATTAATAGTGAGAGCACATACCTTTACCTTTCCTTGAATAAGAAAGGGAGGGTTACTGTGTTTTCCCTCCACATAAACATAAATACATGTTTAATATTGCATGACAATTACTGCAAGCAGGCTATACTCCTACATGCTCCTGCTTGGTGATGGATCATTGCTACTCAATCCATGTACATTTTAGAATCAAACATTCATTCTGCTATATGTATCCAGCACTATCATTCTTCTGAGAAGGGGAAAAAAAGTTACATTAGAATGGTTTATAATATATTTTCTCCTTCTAAGAATATACAGTATTCCTTCTCGTCAGTGACTCCCAACCACACAACACTGCCAACAGTAGTCTCACAGCAGAAGGGAAGGTACCTGTAAAGGAAAGTTATGTTCCAGAGTCAACTCTCCCCATTGCCCTAGTTGACAGCAAACCCCATGGTGCAAAGTACCTGAAAAAGTTCGGAGTCATCTGTGCTATACTGGCTGGACTCTGTTTCAGAGCGCTCACAATCCCACTGTAACTCACTGAAGCAATTGGTTGAGTCAAAGTCACCAGCATCCAACTGGGACAAATCGATCTCCGGGAAATCAGAATAAAGGTGCTCCTCACCAGACACTTCATGCTGCAGAGAGAAAATGGAGGATGCAATTAGCTTTAGCCATTCCCTTGATCTACATGCGGATCCTTGGGTAGCTGTGGCCAGATAATATACGTGCCTTCACATGACGTCTATGGGTACAAGACATGACTAAATAAAAGGCCACACTCTAAGAAGTAACCAGAAGTCGAAAGGGCAACTGTTCCTAAAAGAAAATGGGCACCAAATGTCTTCCAGGGTTCTCCTTGCCTTCAAGTTCCAAAAATACAAGATTTCCACAATTTACCCTGCTCTTCAATTTCTCCAGGGCAGTTTTACAACACATAAAAAGAAAATTACAATCAATAAAAATAGTACAATAAAAACTAAAATAGAACAAGGAAAACGGCATACATGATTATAATTTCAAATGTCTCTCAACAGCAGGAAAACACAATTGGCAGCAATATATAGTCAGAAGGGTATCTCTAAAGCGAAGTGTGTCCCTGTCAAGGATATTTCTGGCTCCCATGAAATTTGCCCATCTTTTCTCTGAAGGAACACGCTTTATCTTGAAATAATAAGGTGCATCTTGAAATAATCAGGTGGCTGCAATTAAACAATTTAGAAAAAGTGCTTCTGGAGGAAACCTAATAGTCCAGTGTTTCAAACAAAGTGTACAAGTTGCATTAGTTACACACAACAATTAGAGTGAAGCTTTGCTAATGACTGGAATATGAGGTAGGGTGAAAATGAGCCCCTTTGATCTGGAGAGCTTGATGGTTCTGGAACTCTAGATACGATACAGAATGCTCTGGATGCAGAACTTTGGGGGAAGCCTCCGTTTCTCCAAAATGGAAAAGGTAGTGGTATCCGAAGCTTTTCCCCCAGGAAAATATCCATTATAGTTGAAAAATGTAGTGAGGGACACCAAATCAACTACTTTGTTGCTAGTTTATGTCAGCTGATGTCTAATTTTGTTTTCGATTGTTAATTGCGTTCACTGTTATTATTATTGTTTATCAGGGTTTTCCTTGAAACCGCCCATAGTGGCCGTGGCAGCCGGATGGGCAGTATAAAAGTCAAACAAACAAACAAACAAACAAACAGCACATTTTTGTCCCTCCTTCAGACTGCTAAAACCAAAAATTCTGGGGTTTCAGAATTTGTTTTTTCCTATGTCTCCAGTCAAATTATAATTAAGGCATCTCTATTTGATTGGAAAGTTGTTTTGAATTGATGAGTATTTCTCACTCCATGAGTAAAAAGCTGCCACTTGTATCTGATTACCATTTTCCCCCTTCTTTGAATATGTGCATGAGTGAAAGCAATTCTACAACAAAGTGAAAATAAAACATTTCCCACTAAATAGTATTCCATCCGGCAACAGTGCTGCAAGCTTGGCCAGCTTTCACAAAGAAACACTCGGGTTGTGTATCTCCTGTATCAGTGTGATAATATTCTATTATGCAGATTCAAAGATTAACCTTTATGTGTTCTTAGAAACATCACTCCCACTGTTTTCTAGTGTGAGAGAGGCCAAGCCCTCCCTACCACCAGAACAGACCAAATGCTTTGTTTCCCTGTGAGGGGGGAAAAGGTTACTGGTGATGGTTAATATGCTCCTTTTAAGACCATGTTTTTTCATAGGAACAGGAAGACACCCACATGCCACCAGATTACTCAAATGACATGGCTTCATTTCTGAGATTAAAAATGGCTCATTCCTTCAGTACATTCTGCATTAACCCTAATTGCAAGGTTGTTGAAACTGAGCAGTTTCCAGTTAAGAAGGAAAAAGCAACTTAAAAAGCTATTTCAGCAGGCTGCAGCAGAGGGAGGGGGATCCTAGAGGTAAGCACCTGTTGAAAGGCTGAACCACCTTGTATTTCTCCCCTCAACCCAGGCTGCAGCAGAGGGAGAGGAGGTGGGAACTGGGTTATGAAAGACTGCACCACTGGGCCTTCCTCTCCTTAATTTTTTTCCAGCTGACTATGGTAGGAATAACAGTTTGGCCCGAGGAACCGGCACCCCCTCATCTGCTTTTTTCCCCCCTTTCCTTCCCAACTTTTTCCCTTTGTGTCATTTTTTCTGGACTGTAGGCCTGAAGACAGGGCTTGTCTTGCTTTCGTTGACTGTACATAAGCCATTCCCTGCATTTTTGAGGCTGCCTGGGTTCTTAAGCTACTCCAGCCTTTTGTGACATAATGCACCTGGGACCTGGGAGCCAGGCAAAGTGTACCCCTCCAGAGATGGTCAGACTGCAGCCAGAACTGTGCTCACGACCTGGGGTTCAAATCCCAGGTAGCCGGCTCAAGGTTGACTCAGCCTTCTATCCTTCCGAGGTCGGTAAAATGAGTACCCAGCTCGCTGGGGGGGGGGCAATGTGTAGCCTGCATAATTAACTTGTAAACCACCCAGAGAGTGCTTGAAGCAGCAAGCAGCAAGATCTGGAGCAATGCACTTTGCCCACCTCCATTTCAATTAGCAAACAAACAAAAATGACTGGGCAAATGTCCTTAACTACAGAGGGCTGCTCTGTCTTCACCCATCTGGCTGCCTCTGACCAGCACACTCCAACTCTTACCATCCCCTACAAGCAGAAGATGATGGGGGGGTTTAACACCTCTCTGAGACATCAAGCAAGTGATGTTCGCTCTTGTCTAGAGGGAACTACCAATGACCTCGGCAAGTTACGATAAGCCCCGAGACACACATACACCCTGTGTACTGCCGCAGCAGCTGCATGGGTTCATAAGCTACTCCAGTCTTCAGTGACGTAATGCGGACATCCAGAGCTTATCCTACTGCCCTGATACTTGCCAATTAGCAAGAGAGCGAAGAAGCTTATAGGGTACAGCAGACAGTCACGAATAAAGTAAGGCTCCGAAACAGAGGCCAGTGTACATTCTAAGGTGATGGTTTTGGCCCAGTAGACAAGCTAGCTTCCTAGGTCTGCTCAGCCTCTCTTTTCTTCCCTAGGGGAAGCAACCTACACTTAGCCCTGGCAAACTCTTGGCAGCAAAAAGCAGACCCTTGAAGCGCCGATATTTCCTCATACACAGCGACAATCCTTCCTTATAGAAACAAGCTTCTCCAGACACCAATTCAATAACAGCTCTAACAATCCATTGAATTCTTCCCCTACTCCTCAAACCTAGCCAAAATGCGAGTATAATAGAGCAGAATCAATGGCTGGCGCAAGTAAGGCAATCTAAGCTCTAAGAACGGAGCTAAAAATATCCAGTCAATCACACAGAGCAGCTGAGACCCGGCCCCATTTCCACCACATTCTCAAGGCATACGCAATTGCATTAAACTCCCAACACAGACGGCAAGAGCAAGTGACCGAGAAGGACACCGTACTGCTGCACTGCACCATTATGGCTAAGCTTAGCAAAGGTCACGGGCACGCTGGGGATGCTGCCTTTGGAGGACCAGAATAAATGGAGAGCAGAGTGAAGGAAATGGATTGTTTAACACCAAGAGAAGGCCTGCACAGATAAGGGCTGGTGGGAAACCCTGCGATCTGCCATGGGGATATTGACTCCATATTCAGTTGCAGAGATCTGTGTATTATGCATCTGCCATGTAGTTTTGTCCAGTCTTGTTATTCCATTACTACTAACAGAACTCACAGAATCTCTCAATTGGCATAGTCAGTAGAATACTGTCTGGGACATTCTGGGGACTATAATAGTCAAAAAGAAAATTTTCCAAGTACTGATTCTCACAGCAGCCCTATCGGGTATGTCAAACTGCATGATACTCAGGGCCGTAAAACAATCCTCATGGCTGAGTTGACAGGGTAGATAAAAAAAATCAATGATTTTTTTAAAAAAATCAATTTAAATCACAAAAAATCGCTTTAAAAACTTAAATAATCCAAAATTAAATTTTTAAAATTTAAATCATTATTTGATTTAAATCAAACTCAGGGGGATTTGAATCCAAAGCTCTTCAGTCTCAAGTCCAAACTTTATGTTTCAGAAAATGTGTCATTAAAGCTGAAGCTCCATTAGTGTTTTAGATGTGTGGTTCTGGTGGACCCTCACATCTGAGAAATCAGACATGCACGTGAAGCCCATGTTCAGATCCAGGAAACCAAACACAAAACAAAGCCTAACGAATTTACAAACCTATGGTCTGGGCCTCACATTCATGGAAGGCCTCAAATTTAAAATATGCCACAACTTTTCTAACCATGTTTTTGTATTTCTTCATTTTTTAAAATATTCCAGGGATTACAAAAATATGAAAGCACCCTGGTCTCCTCTCAACATTTAAGATAATCAGAAGTGAGAAGCGCTCCTGCTGTGACTGTCACATATTTTCTACAATTAAGGAATTCCCTCCTTGGATGATGGGTTATGCTTCATGTACACATTCACCTCTAGGTTCCATTAACTAACTATACCCATCTGACTGCCTAGGTGTCCAGGTTCTACATAAATACTCCATGGTTAATAAAGTATAGTTCTAAGCCATCAAATCCTGACCTCATGTTTGCTGGTCTTTGTAGTATTCACTGGATTCAGTGGAGTAGATAAAACATTCAGGCCTTTCTTTTTGAGACAATAGGAACATCTTAGGCAAACCACTACAGAGCTAGTAGATGATAAAGGCTTTTGTCTTCACAATGACCGAGTCTAGCATTCAAAATGCTGCCCAAGAAATGAAAATTTGTGAAGCCCCCTGTTATGCAAGGACTAGCTGATCAGTGGAAGGTTCCTAACAATGGGAAAAGCAAGTTCATTTGTTTTGCATTTAGCTCTTAGATCACAAGATCAGCTGAGCATTTCAGAAGCTGTAATGAGAGAATAATATCCAAGGCACGGCTTTGAAGTTTTCCCAACAGTCTCCCTAGAAACAATAAAAATCGACAAAAAGTTAACAGAAACAAGAGAGACAGCATCTTTCCTGCCCCAATCATAACTCTGTTCTCTCTTTATTAACTTGGATAATCTCAGATTATAAATCTTGTTTCTCTCAGGAATGGGACTTTATGTCTTATCCGTATTTTCCAGTTTAGTTTGGGACACAAT